GCGTCGATACAGGCAGTACTCGGACATGCTAGACGTCCTGACACAGCACCAGGTAACAACCACTTTGATACTGCTACTCGGTGTTCTTGCTTTTTTATTGTTCTAAAAAACTAATTGTAGTTACCTAACTTTCAGGTGAATTAGTGTCCGTGGTCCAGATTCAAGCTTGAGGGGTACCTGAGTCCTCGCACTGAGGAAGAGTCGGACGAGTGGCTTTTTAACAGGCCACTAATTTTCTTCCACGTGGTGGAGATGCACTACCCTATATGGGTGTACAGGCAGTTCAGAAGATTGCAGCCATGCCCACCACCGCTGTACACAACCAACAGAAAGTTGCACGGGTGCGACAACTGAAATATAATAATTTAGCAGTCTTGTGCATAGATACAACCACAAACTTACATTAAACTGTAGGTACGATCGAAGGAACAGGTACAAGGAGAAGAATTAGGCTGTGACGCACGCCCCGTTCATCCATGAATGGGCTAGTCGGCAAACGGTCCTCATCGCCGAGATACCGCCGCACGACCAACGCAACTTCGACCGCTACCTCCAATGGTTGCATAGGAGTACCCGCACACATATGCAAGCCGCCTACACTAACAAGCCAATTAATGAGGACGAAGACAAGGATGACATCGCTGATGCGTACGATGAGGCGACAAGGATGGAGACACAACTTCAGAGAGCCCCGCTATAGAGATATGTGGTAAGAAATTTGAATTTCAATACAACTGCACATCGGCGTTCCTATGAATTATAGTGATACAAACTTAGCTCGCTTGTGTATGCAGGCATCACAGTTGACAAGTCTGTCCAACAAAGCAGCCATGTGATTTCATGAGACCAGAGGGAGCCGCACGACATTCTACACATCTTCGTCGATGTACATTCTATTCTCAGAGACATGACAATGGTTAAATGGTTCCCATGACTCATTCATCCATGTTTTCTTTTTTTGCAAAAAGTGAGAAGCTGCAAGAAGCTGGCATAGAAGCTCAGCTGCGTGGATACTCCGTGGGAGATGCTCTATGACCCGAATCTGTCTAGTTCCTTATGCTCAAGCACTATGCCGACGCCGAGCAGGTTCCTCCGACATGACGGCTGGTGGGACCTCTTATGTTTATACTCCCGGCAATCGTGGTAAGGGTCCTACGGAGCACGACATTGAGAAGGACGAGGATGAGGAGGACGAGGAGGAGGACTACGATGAGATTGGGATGTCTCAGCTTGGTGATGCACCATTTCCTACATAGTTCGACGCATAGGTACTTGAAACAATCCTTCGCCATATACATCACAATTACTTAAACATTGTAAGTAATGGTGCCTATATTGAAATTGCAGGGTCCTAGTTACACTCAGCAGTACCGCCGGGTGTACCGCCAGCAAGACCGTACCGACGTTGGGTTCACCCCTAACGTCCTGCCTTCACATCCGAAGAGGCAGCGACATCCGCGGTCACCATATACTCCTGGGTCATAGGAGTTCTTTAGGATGACATGCTGCACTTGTACTCGAACACCCATATACTGATGGAACATGTAGTATGTCGAGTAATGTTGAACTTATGTATTGATGAACTTGTGTCGTAGTTATGACTTGCTGAACTTATGTCGAACTTGCGATGAACTTGGGATAGTGCTCGAGCGATGAACTTGTGATGAACTTATGTCGAACTTCCTGTTGACCTATTCGTTAAACCGACACGATAACATAACATAAGTGCCTAAACCTTCCTTTTGCTGCCGCTTTGACCGCCGCATCATGGCTACTAGAGCGTCAGCCTTGCCACGCCGTGGACGGTGGCGCGGCAATCCCATGCTAGGCGCTGGCTAGACTCCCTTCTGAGCGCATCAGCAGTAGCATTATAATACCATTTTTTGTGGCGAAACTTTTATGAGATAGCACAATGTCCGTTATAAAAATTAAACAATGTTTGTTACATGGGTACAATACATAAATAGTTCAAATGAAACACAATGCGGCACCGAGAAAGTTCTACTGCAATACAAATACCAAATCTAAAACATTGAACTAGCACACTTATACCAATCCTCAGTCTGAAACATACTGAGTAAGCAACTCATCATCCGAGTACCAGTCCTCTACCACAACCTTGTTGCTATGGCTAGGCTCACCTACAATGCTTTAACCTGTCGGTCGCCTGTAGTAAGCGGCATTCGCTTCATCTGCGGCCTCTACGGCCTGAGTGAAGTGCGCGTCATCATCCTCCTCCGCCTACAAGCCTGCCTCTGCTAGAGCGATGAGCTCGCTCAGTCTGCCGGTGTCATCCTCAACCTCCTCCGCCTGCAAGCCCGCCTCTGCTAGAGTGATGAGCTCGCTCAGTCTACCAGTGTCGTCCTCAGCCTCCTTCGCCTGCAAGCTCACCTCCGCTACAGCGATGAGCTCGCTCAGTCTGCTAATGTCATCCTCTGCCTCCTCCGCCTGCAAGCCCACCTCAGCAAGAGCGATGAGATCGGTCAACCTGTCAATGTCGTCCTCATCCTCGTCCCCCTCATCAGACAACACAATCGGTGATTGAACGGTGCGACCAGCATGCGTTCTATGCTCATCTAAGTTCTTTTCCTCATACCTTGCATGAGCCACCTCTACGGCATGGTCCTCGCTGCATCCAATCCCTTCATTTATAAAATACAATCAGTTAGCAACGCGATTATATTACATTTAAAATCAGACAACGAAAAAAGGCTTTTAAGCACTCACTGGCACATAATGCAACAACATGCTCGTTCAAGACCTGCAACTATACTCTTGTCTCCTCCCTTGCCTCCTTCCTTGCCCTATCCTCCTCTAACGTCCTCTGTCTCCCCAATCCCCATTTGTCAAGCCCAACATCGATCGGGTTACGAATATCGCGCTGTCTAGCAAACTCATGCATCTTGTTTTTGTGATGTTTAACGAATAGGTTGACGTAGTTAGGTCCATATCCCCTCTTCCGTGCAATTACTTACCTCCCCTTCAGTTCATCCAAGAACTTAGCTTGACCATCGTAACATTCCCACCTGCATTTCCTAGTGCTCTGTTCAAACGAAAAATTATATCATATATGTCTTAGCAAAAAAACAAAATACGATTTCATGTTTACCATAAAAATAACCAGCCTCATCATAGTCAACCATATAGCTGCAATAATGGCCTATTCCAAGCTCCGAAGGGACTAGACCATAGTTGGATTTAACACCATATTCGCACTTGACTAGAAGTGCTTCGTAAATTAACCTTTATTTTTCCTTTTCCTTTGCCTTTGGTGGCTCCGGCCATTGATTCTTAGGCCGTAGAGTCACTCATTGAAACGACACTTCGCAAATCCATAACACTATAAGATAATACATTAGTACACGCACACATATAGAGCTAAACATTTAAACAGATACACTTCCCACTTACTTCGTGTTTGTTCAGACACACAAACTTCAACGTATTCTCAGGGTTTATCACAGCTCGATCTCCGCATTCGCACAGAGGAGGTTCCTCGAGTCGTCTAACTGTGGCTAAGTGCTTCTCCTTAGCCATCATTGGCGGGGGATTAGGGGGGTGCAACCCACCGCTTTGAAGTGCTCACGTGGATGTCTTCCTCTACACCAATCGTCGAAAAGGAGGTATCTAGGGACAAACTTGTCTGCATCGTCGATCCACTAAAAGAAAAAGCACCTCTCATGGTCCTACACAACAAGATTCCAACAAAATATTAGTAGTCTACTTACACAAATGAAAAAAAGATAGTGGAAACAATTACTTATATTAAAACAACTGCATGTGTAGAAACAATGCGTCGCTGTATCTGGATGTCTCGATTGAAACACGTCGGCCGAGAAATCACAGTCACAGTTAGGGACAGGGAGGTCAGGAGGGACGGGGGAATCTTTGCTAGAGGCGTCGGGGTATAATTCTCGAGAACGACCCCGTTTTCGTCAAAACTCCTCCCGATACATTTCTTGCATCTAACAAAACAGTTATAATTTAACAAAAAAAATTCAAAACATCATAAATTAATGTCAATGAGAACCATTTGCATTACAATAAATAAAATATAACCTACACTTTGGTGCAAACTCTATCTTAGATGCAAACATGAAAACTATATAAAAACTATACTTTGGTCAGTAAAAAATAAAATTTGGTACATCATCAGTGTGTCCATATATTTATTCACATATAAAAGTTGAGATGCAAACTCAAACAAGCAAAATACATGGTAATCATAATTCTAACTAACCAATTAACCTTAACATTGGCAATCCTAATCCTAATCCTAATCCTTCAATCAAACGTCCTAACGAACTCATATTTTACTCCATACCCTAACTACTCATTCAAATAATTCGATCCACCGTGGAGGCCGAGGAGGAGCTTCGGGGAAGGTAGGGGGGAACGCCAAGGGAGGAAAGTTCGGCGGCCGGCCGTGGGGGAGCCGGGAGGCAATGGCGCGGCGGTGCGGGCTGGGAGACGCGCCGGCGGGGGCAGGGCGGCACGGAGGCGGCTGCTATACCCTGGCGACTAAAACAGAGGAGGGGCGGGACTGGGCCACGGGCCTATATTAGGCTCTGCCACGCCCTGGACGGTGGCACGCCACTGCCGCGTCATGATGCGTGGCGCGTCACCGCCGCGCCCTGATCGGTGACGCGGCAGAGCTGGCCACATCACCGGTCATGGGCCCTGTTCGCTGCCACGTACGTAGCCTCGCGCGTGCCCCATGCATGGCGCGGCAGCGTTAAATCGCCGCGCCGTGCGATAGGCGCGGCCAAAAGTGTTAGATTTGAAAAAAAATAGTGTTAGTTTTAAAATTAGTTTTAAAAATGTGTTAAAAAAAATCACCCCTGCTGGCGTGGCTACCAGCTGGCTTCTTCGTTCCCTCCTCAACCGTCTCCTTATAACCTGATCCCGTCCTCGTCTCGGCTCAGCTCCAGCTCTGTTCTAAGCAGCAGCAGCTTTTCTTGCACTGTTCCATATATCGAAGAAAAAGGTAGCTAGAGCCCATGGCGACGGTGGCGACGACGACGTCGATAGGCAAGGTCGGGAAAAAGAGCGGCCTGATTTTAAGAACCCTGCAGCGGTGCAAGTCCGGGCTGAGCGCCGGCGGCGGCGGCTCATCCGGCCGGTCGCCGTCGTCGCCTCCGGGGTGCTTCTCGGTGTACGTGGGCCCCGAGCGGGAGCGGTTCGTGGTGCGCGCCGAGTGCGCCAACCACCCGCTGTTCCGGCGCCTCCTGGACGACGCGGAGCGCGAGTACGGGTACGCGGCGCAGGGCCCGCTCGCGCTGCCCGGCTGCGACGTCGACTTCTTCCTCGACGTGCTGTGGCAGATGGAGCGCGCCAACGCCGACGAAGAGATCGCCGCCGCCTCCTCGCCGATATGCGGCCTGCACAACGGCAGCAAGGGCCGCGCGGCCGGGTACAGGATGCTGAGCCCGCGGTCGTCGTTGCCGATGGTTGGCAGGCAGGAGGATCAGGTGAGAGCATGCAGAAAGAAAAGAAAAGATTAATCGATCGAGCATGCATGAACTAAGATGATTAGCGAGCTAATGGTGCTATCGTATGAACTCTAGTAGTAGTTCTCTACTGCTATGTATGAATATAAGTGTCATTCATAGCAGAGACTCCTTGGCTTTCTGGTCATATAGTGTCATCGACTCCTTCCTTTCTTTCTTTCTTTCTTTCTTTCTTTCTTTCCTCCTTTTTTGAACTTAATACTCATTTTCAGTAGTAAGCTTTTAGATCTGCTCAAAAAACAAAAAGTTTGCTTTTAGCTAGGCTAACTGGCGACCTCAAAATATGTATGTGCGTGTGCATGTCCAGTTGGGTCGATCTACTCTGTCGATCGTTTGCTCGTTGTTTTAGTTTCAAGTAATTAATTAATACAGGTTATTTTAGGTCAGTAGCTTGGTTTATTCTACTATCTCGAAAAACTTTTAACTCTGTAGTACCACGAAGAGAATCGACCTAGATCCTATTTAGATCAAGGAGATAATAGTTAGCTGATAATAATTGTCTCCTTGATCCAAACATGTCTAGCTAACTATTAGCTGAGTAGACAACTATTAATTATTTCACTAGTTGTTGGATCAAATTAGCTAAATAACAGCTAACATTTAGGACAATGCTACGGTATTTCCTTTACTTATTTTGAGGTAGTACCTTAAATAAATCTGAATCGTTGATTTTTTTAGTATTTTTGAATTAATTAATTAATTAATTAACCTAGAAAAGAAAAAATACATCATCAATTCCTTACTTCAAGAAACAGAGAATCCAGCGCATGGTTCCTTCCTTTTCCGTGCACACGCCGCACGGCCCCTTCCTTTTGGTTCAACGTGAATAGCCTCCTATTTTAGTTTTTTTTTCTAATGTATGTATGGATGAAGTTATTTTATATATTTTAGTTTGTTTTGATATTTTTTGTCTTATAAAATTGGTTATTTTTTATAATACTGAGTTATGTTAAAGCTGTACATCGATCATGCATGTTACATACTCGGTTAAAAAAATACGTTCATAGATGGAAAGTTTTAACGGCTAACATGTTAATCGAGCCGTGAACTTTGACGATCTAAAACATGTTATTGTTTAATTAAATAAAGTTGTGTTATGAAGTAATAATAGCTTTTACAGAGAAAGTATACACCAAAAGATGTAGTCAACATGTTTCGGGAGAGGAGGGGTATGGTGGACAAAAGGTAATTAGAGTTTGTAATATTGTTATCATAGTTTTCTATCTCTACCTCCTCCTTTCAAGTTTCTAAATTCATAGAAGGGCTCCATCACCCCCCTCCCGTCCTAGGTGTTGAATATGCCCCTTGAGGGAGAGGTCAGCTTTGAGTAGGCAATGTTGTGCCAAATGAAAGACAAGGTAGAGGACGCACCGATGGGCACTACCTGGAAGGGACCTAGCAACCAGGATAACATGATCGGAGATGAGAGCAAGTGTTAGAATTTGGTACCCTAGTTATATGTGCAGCAACCATCGGCTCTTTGAAAATATATTGTGAGTATGACACAAAGTTTACATCGTATTAACAACGGCATAGACAAATCTCATAGAAAACCCTAAATGATGATGTTGAAGCAACTACGACAAAAGATTAGAATTTGGCAAAGTCGGTCGTGATTTCTATAAGCACAACTCCAAAATGAGTACAAGTGATTATTGCTCTCACAACCATACTTAACCCTCTAGGATCCACCGATTCTTACCCTATATAAGAATCTATCACAATAGAACTGTCTCTTGAGCGCTCCTAATTGTTCATGACAAGTCTTAGATGAGACCCTTGTGTTATTAGCTTGGTTGATGCCTATGGCCTCAACCCTGTTTGAGCACTCCTAGTCTAAGTAAACTTTGAATGACTGTAGCAGCAAAGACGAGTTTTGCCTTTGTCATTTGTTGTCCACACTGTTGTGTGAGTGCCGTCATGACCCGAGTTATCTAGGCAAGCAAGTGGCCTCGCCCCTTGGAATATGAATGTGTGGGTGGGGGTAGGCAAATTATAATAGAGGAAATTAAAATAGAGAGAAAAGGTTGTTCGAAAGATATGGTAGGAGAATTCCTGCAGTCTTTTCTCATCTTTGAAAAGGTATTGTAGTTTTATCAATGCTAATTAAGACGACTGATTTGTCATGGCTCAAGCTGAACGACTGAAATAGTGGACGGAGCAGTAAATTATAAAGAATGTTCTCAACCGTCTTTTTACGAGTGGCTAATGGATTTTAGTATATTTATTAGGTAACTACCTACCATAGCTACTGTTGTAGGTGTTAGCATAAAAACGTGTCGATGCGCCGGGCACACAGTAAGTCGGAAGGATCTGCTTGATGGAGCAAGGCTGGAGATCCGCTTGGCTTCGACACAGGGCTAGCCGATCCTGCGAATTCCTCCCGAGGCGTGCCAGTCAATTTGACCTGCAATTGACAAGGAGAGAAAGTTTATCAGTAATTTAAGGTGGAACATACCGGTTTTTGCCCAGACAGTTCCAAGTGTGCCGCTTCAGGAGCAGCCAGACGGGAAAATCGACTAAATAGCCGATACACGCAGAAATCAGCTGTTACGGACTGTAAAGCTCGTGGGTAGCGATTGATTTTATGTTGACAAGTACAGTACGCGCAGATGTAAGTAAGATCATTAGCTAGGTAGATATTACCAGTGTAAAGCATTGATCCGATGAATCTAACGAGAAAGGATATAGCATGCGAACAAATCGACTGTGTAGTACAAATGGACCTACAAACACTCTGAATCTAATCTGTTACTATCAACGGTAAGGTTCGACCGGATTGATTGCAGCTATGATGATACTAACAAACTAAAACCGACGAATCCGTAAAACCATCTATACATTGACAGGCTTTCCGAAATACATGATATATGTGTGAAAGCTCAAATGGATCGGCTGAAATAGCCGATTCATGTGGAAAATTGACTACAACATGTGAACAATCAACTATTTAACATGGACTAATCTATAAACTCATCAGACTTAACCTGCTATCTCTAATAGTGGGGTTCGACCGGATCAATGGCAGCCGTGATAAAGACAACAAATCAAGCATTTAAAGTAAACAGATCTATTCACATTTAATAGAATCAGGGAGACATAATGTAGGCGTTAAAGCAAAGGCAATCGGCTATTTAGCCGATACATGCATAGCAAACAATTAAGGTCATGCCTGATCGAGAACAAATCTACCAACTAGCATCCTCCAATCTAAAGTGCCATCAGTGGGGATCGACCAGGTCGTTGCAGCCATAATAGCGAACTATAGACCAGATTTAACTAGCCAGCAAACCTCTTCAAGATCATATGTGCCTTAACCGCGTACTATGCATGATCAAGATCGAGGTAGAACAGCCGATAAAACGTAACCCGTCGCTCAAAGTAAGAAATATCGTATTGTAACAAAGCAAACGACGAACTAAAAGGATGTGAGGCCGAGCTAGATTGATCTCGATCGGGCATATTGATGTTGCTGAAAACTAATAACAATAAGAACATCAGCAAGATCGGTAATTTAATGAATCTACCCGAAGGACGCCACCATTAGGTAGAGCCGATAACTTGACCTTAATCTAACTCGAGCAGTGGAGGTCGAACTTAACCGATGTAGCCGTACTTGAACTAGATAAGAGTCGATAACTAGCTTATACTAGAATTCACAGTGGAAGTCGAACTTAACCGATACAGTCGTACAAACAGAAGTATAAGTCATGACAGTACTTACAGACAAGCCGAAGGTCGGCCGGACCGATGCAGCCCTGCTTGTTGAAGAACTCGACGAGATCTACACTACTCCTACTCCTAAGGTTGGCGTAAAGCCGAAAAAAAGTAACTTGTATTGATTAATTGGATGTCTTTTTACAATAGTCGAGGTCTAATATTTATACCCAGAGACTAAGCATGAATCCTACTCAAAGTACGACTCGTTACAATTTTTGGTATAAAAGAAAATGTTCATAATTTAAGATAACTTGGACAAGAATCTTTCCCTTTTTTTAGAGTCCGACATGTATTTCTCGACGCCAACCGTAGGTCATCGTCGTTATCTGTTGACGTCATTCGAAGAGAGCCGATTCCAGTGCCGCGTCTGAATCAGCTGATATAGATCCTTATGTAATCGATTTCTTGATTGACACAATTTTGAAAGCTTCGAGTTCCCGCGTTCTTCTTCCCAAATTTTGGTGTAAACAATAAATAATTAGTTTGTTGTCAGGGGTTTGATAAAATTATTGGGAAACATACTACATAGAGAAACTGTTGGCCGCTTGAGGAACAATAATAATAAATAAAAAACAATCAAACCATTGACCAAATTAAAGTCATAAAGAAAGGTCATACTTATTTGTAGGGACAAGCGTCCTGTTCGCTTGGGCTTGTTGAGCCGATAAGCCATGACTGAAGGTACTATTGGCTAATTTGGTGTGAGAAAAAAATATTATTCGTTGGCTGAAAAAGTACGACTTATAAGTCAAACAAGCCCAAACGAACATGACGAAGATGCTCGCATATAGAGCTTCAGGGCCACAGACCACCCTGCTGTTTCAGTCACTATATCCCCGGTAATTATAGCTAGTCAATCGAAGCTGAATTCTCATATTCACAACGTCTGCTTGTGTTCCTGTGCGATTATATTCGGAGTTATATATACCCATCCCTTCATATTCATCGGCGGCCATCGGGAGTCCGAGATTCAGCCATTGAAGCACTAACTGACGGTTGGCTGGCGAGCAGCAGCCACCCGAAGCGGTACACGCCCCGAGCAGCCGAGCTGGGATGGCAGGGCCGACAGCGCAGGCCCAAATTAGCCAGGACGGTCGCGCACAGGCGATCGTGTTTGGTTGTTCTTGCTACAAGTCCTGTACATCCGCATGGAGAGGATAATTTCATCACAGTCAGCTCGTACGTACTGCATGGAGAGGATGATTTCAAATCTCACGCACGCATGCATGCGACCGCGCGCGCGCCGGTGTGTGATATGGTCGTGGCATGACCAC